GTCAGCCAATTTTTATATTTAGCAGCTCTACGTTTAATTTATATTTAAGCATTTTATTTTTTATTCCATTGCCGTGTGTAAGTTTCATGATAAGGGCATACATATTCAGTGTAGACATCTGCGGGATGCGAAACGAAAAAGATTGGTTTTTGGTTCGTGTCGCTACGTCGATTTTTCGCCGAGTTATGGCGTTTTAAAAATCGGGCGCGCGCGCACCATTCATAAAAGAAGCCCGCGCGAGTTTTACGCGGGCGTACTACGTCCCTAAAAAACTGGCATTTAAACATACGAGGCACACGGCGTTCGGTAGTAAACATCGCCGCGCGAGACGCCGCGCGAGACGCCTCATACATGTATATGCGTCGTCTGCTGCTGCTGCTTAAAGTTTAAGATCGCGAGTCGATATAATCGTTAATAACTTTGCACAGAAAAATCGTAGCAAGATGATCCTAGTCTCGTTGGGAAGCTAAGATTTCAGCGCTTCTAACGAGATAAGAATCGCTTATCTCGGATCATTAGTTTACGAGATTTCATTAATTAATTACAAAAATAAAATTGATTTTGTCCCGAGATCGAGATCGCGAGACGATATAATCGTCATTCTCTCCGCACAGAAAAATCGTAGCAAGATGATCCTGGTCTCGTTGGAAAGCTAAGATTTCAGTGCTTCTAACGAGATAAGAATAGCTTATCTAGGATCATTAGTTTATGAGGCATTATTGATAAATTCCGAGAAAATAAATTTTGTCCCGAGATCCAAATTGTGAATTAATCTTTCGATTGGAATCGGGGTGGAATCAGGGCCTCTACAAGGTTAGTTTGTTTTTATCGGGCAACATTTCAAGTCGAATCTAAACGAGAGACTTTATTTTATTTATAAAATAACGCCAAGTTTATTTTTACGCCATTGCAATCGTAATGATTATCCGACGTAAATGGAGCAATCTTGTACAAACGAATGTTTAAATAATTTTCTAGCGAATATCACCAGATAATGTAACCTTCTTTTTTACAATGTTGTACATATTACAACATAAAATATAAGAAATTGTAAAAAATATAACAAATAATAAAAAGGTAAAAAACAATTATAGTAAAGATAAGAGAACTGCCAATTGGAATCAGATATATTTATACATATAGCGAAGATCAAATACGATCTTAGTAATTATCAGTAGTTACCATTATTATTAATAATTAATTACTTACCATTTGTTGATCTCGAAAAATATTAATATTAAAAATATTAGAATTGATTCTGATCATTCTCTAATTTTTTTCCTCAAGAAATAATGTTCCGTTAAAAAGTATTTGAAAATTTGTTTTATTGTAAAGTCAGACACAAGTTAAAATATTAATTAAAGTCATATGCAGGGAAGAAGGGAATGAATTGATACCGATTCATCAATTGTGAACGGTTACGAACCAAATTAGCTATCTAACGATTTTCGTTTCAAAACTTTTTCTCAACTGAACGGAGTCAATCGTTATTAAATCCTAATAAATCCGCAAAATGATACGCAGAATGTGTAGTAAGTTACGAAATAAAGTAATTTGAAATATTAGGTATAGTATTTAATTAAACTTACACTTTATTTCACATTTCGTAACTGCGGGACAAGGAACTCAACGTTCGGTTTTGTTTTTCTCCCTGAGCGGCATCGTATGACGTATGTATGTACATACATACGTATGTACTTACAACCGCGTGCAATTGTATACGTGAAGGTCGACGCGTTACTATTCGCTCGCCGAGCCTCGAGTCGGTCGGTAGCGTCGCTCAGTACGTAGTATTATAATTCTTTTGCGTTATTAGTTTCCGAGACGCGATCGTGACAAGCGCGGGGGTAAAACTTTGTTAACTTCTACACATTTATCAGTAACAAATAACGTTTATCGATTAATTATTAGGTTTCTACAACTTGTAATGAGAAACAATTTGTAACTTGAGGCAACAGCGTCAGAGAAGATAATTGATGAGACTAACTCGTCTAAAATATGAAAGTATCTAAACCGTGTTACTTTATTGCGATTACATCTAGTTTACGCATCGCGCTTTGAATTATCTGTCGATTACAGTGTAATCTGCTTTTCATTTGCGGGAAAAGAGAGAGCTTGGTGCACGGTTTTGATGTTTGCATTGTGTAGTGTAATTCGTTCTATCGGACAATATTTAAACATTAATTTTCATGCATGTTATATACCGTAATACTGTAATTATTCAACTTCTCGGCTATCTTCTTGCCACATAGCATGCTCGTGGCGTGATTTAGTATAGCAAAAATATCTATGTAATCAGTCTGGTAAACAACTGCAATTAATTTTCTTTATGGACATGTTCACTTTCAAGTTTCTTTCATGGTTACCTATAAGTTTACCATTTCTCGGGATAAATAAAATCGGGATAACTAAAGCTATTAATATTATCGATTATTGATATACAATTCTCGACTGCTGATATGTGAATTACTTTATAATGCAGGAAATTTATGATTTATTATTATACATGTATACTTCATAAATAAAGATAAATTTTTAGGACGTAATAACATTATATTGCGATAAAAATACATTTTTTTCCATAATAATTGCTATCGTGAATAATCAAATACCAATGATAACGCACAGTTTTAAATAAAAATTGGTTATTACAAAGTAATAGGGTATATATGTATACAAAACGAATTAAAAGAATTAAAAGAATAATAATACTTATTAAATTAACATTCATAAACATATATTCAGAAGTAATATACATGTTTTACTACGTATATTTTATGAACTAACTCTGAATATTTTAGCAGTTTACAAGCTTCCGTAAGATCGTTAGTCGTCAATAATAGCGTGTTGTTTGAATCAAAGGTGAAAAAATGATTGGGCACAAAAGAAGAAACGTTAACAAAGTTAAAAATCGGCTTGACTTTACACTTTATTACTTACTAAAATTGTTTATTTAAATTTAACTATTTACTTACAAATATCTCTAATTAAGAAAACTAATATCTCTAAATTCTTATATTTGATTATTTATTAGCAACGTTATTTACACTTTAAAATATTTTGCTATACATATAAGAAATGCAGCTGTCAATTCAGTTTTTCCAAAATAAGCATGTCATTTGATAATTTTTACAGTATTACGTACTTCGATTTTACCATCAACTTTACCATCTGAAACAACACAGTTGCCGTTGTTATCGGAACCTCACTCTATTACTTGTTTGCTTGAGACAGATAACGCCACTGCTAAATGTTTGAGCAAAATTCAGCTCTCTTAGCTGAAGACCATTTTTAAAAGATATAGAAAGTACAATTTAGCTATTATTTAATTTTTAAAAATTATAATGTTATCTTTTATTATTATATGTATTAAACTATTATATATACATCTGATATAAATACATCAGTGGACACTTATAAAAACTTTGAATGGATTATGACAGAAATTGCTTTTAAAATAATGTCACATCTGGTTAATGTAAAAAATAATAACACATAGTTTATAATATATAAAAAAAGGTACGCTGTGTTTTACAATTGTAAAAGCTACTACATACAAACATAGGAAGTAACCTTTCGTTGACAAGGCACTTGCCATGAATAGTACAACTAGTTTATAGCCAACGCAATATTCCAAAACTAATGAGAAAAGTCGCAAGGTAATCAAAATCTCATTCTTGCGTTAAAGTCGTACAACCTTTTAATAGAGTCCATCCAACATACGTCTGCTTCGAAACAAACTATTTATAATTCCATTTTAAAAAGCATTCATTTCTCTCATCGGCGCAGTAAAATATTTTCGGCAACGGGGAGGACCTCGGGGGATCGAGCGGAACTTGTTTCCTCGCGAGAACGGGCTGCGAGAATGGTCGGTTAAATAATGGCGCGCTCGTCGCGCACCACCCCCGTGGTGCTCCGCGCAAGCCACCCCCGTTGCGCCCGCAAGTAGTTATGCCCGTTTTAGCGCAGCCGCGCGTGGCGCCTCCGTTCGCGTCGCGCCCGAACCAATTTGACCGCGTGGGGTGGTAGGGGATAGGCCGAGAGCGAGAGAGCGTGCGTCTACGTCAGGAAAAGCTCCGAGCTTATTGGTCCTGGTCCATTGTTGCGTATTGATTGCTGTGGAGCAGTGGTATGGTCGTCGGGACACTCGGTCGTCCTCGTCGTCGTCGTCGTCGTCGTCGTCGTCGCCGTCGGTGGTGCTCAGCCGATTAGGTTAAGAGGAACGGGCGCGCGCGGTTGCGGATATAAGGGAGAGAGCGTGAGGAGAGAGAGAGAGAAAGAGCGAAAGAGAGAGAGAAAGGGGGAAAATAAAACGGTCGTGCTCGCGTCGTGGTCGCGCATCGCTCGCTTCGCGTTTCGCTCGCGCGTGATCGCGGCCCGCGCTCGCCACGTCCGCACCGTACACGCGCGCGCTTATCACCGCAAAAGAAAACAATAGAGAGAGTCTAATGATACGTACGTAAATACACACGCGGATAGGTGCACGAGAGAAAAAGAGATATAAATACAAGTGGGGAGGAAACGGGAAGAACTGGTTCCGCGTACTTGTGCGTTCGTACGGGCGCGTGTATGTGACACGCGGCAGATCCAGTGTCGAGTGAATTGTGGCTGCCGCCTGTTTCCGATTGTTCCGCGGCCGATCATCCTACTCGATCACGGACTCCGAGCGGAAGCGAGACACGCACACCTGCGGCATCAGCGGCAGCGGCGGCGGCAGCGGCGGGCAGCGGCCGCCGCCGAGGGTGGCGAGAGAACACGGATCAACACGGCGCAAGACCTCGGGAGCCGTCGGGATCGAGCTACGTCCGCGGCTGGTTACTGCGCGCACCGCGACAGCCGCGCGGGACGAGAGAGCGGAGCGCCTTCGCCAGGGACGCCGTGATTCGGAGTTCGGTGCTGCTCGGTGTACTCCAGCGGAGATATCGACGCGCGCGTCCGCCTCGGGGTAGACTTGTCTGCGGGGACACGGTCCTTGGTCCGGGCAGTAGTGCGTCGACAAGTACGGAGCGATCACCTTGGACGAGAGAGACTCGCGAAGAAGACAGAAGACATTTTCGGAGCAGACAAATATAAACATTATTAGGCAGAATTGGTGGAACGATCGTAAACGAGTGATAGAGAGAGAGAGAGGAAGGGGGAGAGAAAGAGGAAAGAGAGGGGGGTCGAAAGGGCGAGAGTGAAGACGGGCTCTGGCAGCCCGAGTGTGCGTGGCAGGAGAGTAGAGCGGAAGAAGAGAAGAAAGAGATTTCGGTGATTTTCCGTTGGTCCGGAGAGCGCACGCTCGCGAAGGAAGAGAGGAAAACGGGAAGGAAGCTCGTGGCGTAGGAGCTGCGTGCCGCGAGGACGCGGAAGCGGGGCCGTGCACGGGGTCTCTTTCCTAGCGCGTGTCGCATATCCCCCGGGGGCGGCGCGAAATTATGAAGCGCATAAAGTGCGTCCTACTGGCCGCCGCAGCTGCCGCTTGTGATTGTGATAGTCGCCGGTGAATGTGTGACCCGGGGGCAGCAGAGATCCGCCGGGATGACGACCGAAGGGACGACCGTGCAGCCCCCGGTAGACGACGAGTGCCTCAAGGAGCGGAAATGGTGGTGCTTCCTCCTGTCGAGCATCTTCACCTTCCTCGCCGGGCTGCTGATCGTGCTCCTCTGGCGTGCGTTCGCCTTCCTCTGCTGTCGCAAGGAGCCCGAGCTCTCTCCAAATGACCCGAAGCAGAAGGAGCAGAAAACGGCCCGCCAGGGCAAGGAGTTCGAGGGGACTTTTATGACCGAGGCCAAGGACTGGGCCGGCGAGCTGATTTCCGGACAGACCACCACCGGACGTATCCTGGTGAGTTTCCATCTCCTTTTTATAATCCTCGCGCTTTTCCGGCGCGTCTGGGTGGTTTTAACAGTCACGCCGATAATCCAGACCTATGATTGCGATGTACCAGGCACGTATTATGTGCCGTCAATAATGTTTACACGGTCATTTGTAACGTGACTGATATTATGCGTGCACTCTTCATCTATAAGTTATTATTGCGATATCGAGTATGTTTGTGAAACAATTAAAAATAATTTGCCGAAAGGGCAATTTAAACATTTCTTTAATCTTCCGCAGCTATTTTCTCTATCTCTTATTGTTTTACAATACATATCGCATATTTTAATTTCGAGATTCATCCCTTTGATTTATTGACCATGTTTCAACGATATTGTTAAATAACGTTCAGCGTGTCAGCTATTGATTTTTCTTCGTTGCAATAAAGGATTAAATTAATTATCTCTAGCATCTAATATTAGAAAATATTTGTTAGCCACTTTTAATATTATCATTGAGAAACGAGATATGCACAAAAGGATAGAAGCATCAAGAAAATAATTTGTATTAATTCTGAAATAGGAAGACTTTCAAAAACTTAATAACGAATACACTAGCATTACTTGCGTATATACGTTTATTACTACTCGAGGACAAATAATAACAGCAAATATACAGGGCACTACTTTTTCGCGTTGATATATAGATTGTGCAAAATCTTTTATTTTTCGAACTAATTACACATATTGTTATCTTCTAAACTGTCAAGTCGTTCGATATTTATGAAATATAAAATAATTTTGAAATGATTCTGTTAGTCAAAGTAGATTATTTAGACTTGACAATTTAATATATAGCGATAGACTTTCATAAATTTTTATAAATTTATTGCGGACTAATACCGTGACGGGAAAAGAAATTTGATCCACGTAATAATTTCTCGACTTGAAGTTTGCTCACAACAAAGTTACGTTTATCGGATTCTATAAGATTCCCCCGCTGCAATACTACTAAATTACGTTTGTAGTCGGATTTCCAGAAAATTAAATAGAATTCTGCTAAATAGGTCATACGCCGAAGAAAGTACAAAACCGATTTCCAAGAAAATCCGATAAGGGTGTCGATCGGGAGGGAAGAGGGCGCGAGGGGGATGCGAGACAGACGGATATACTGATTAAAACTCTTCCGTGCAGATTCGTGCCAGTCACGAGACGCCATTACCGAAAATTCGGGTCGGCATTAAACTGTCGTTTAAATCTAATTCAGCTCGGAAGGTTCTCCCTCTCTCTCCCTCGCTCTCTCGCTCTTTCGATCTCGATCTTGACTTCATTGGACGATATCGCGGCAGGAATTTCGATATCGAGGACTCGTCTGCTCCCGTTCGTACCACGCGCCGCGGTGCCCTACCCGGACGCACGAGGATTGACGTCGCGCATCCCGGACGTGCTACGGGGTGAGAACTGGTGGCGAGACGTGTATACACGTAGATTCGCGGCCACTTACACGTGTACGCGCGCGTGCGCGCACACGAGACTCCTAGCCTCGAGCTCGTACGAGAGTACGAGTGTACGTGACCGGTGACCTAGTTTTCGTTCGTGGAACCAGACACGGCAACGGTCCCGCGGTAGAGGGGTGGCTTCTACGCAGTGCGTGTTCCACCCTGGAAGTGCATTTCCGTCGCCATCGCCTCCGGTTCGGGGCGGAGGGTGCATCTCCTCGTCTTCGGTCCTGTCGGCTCGGGATCTCCTCGCTAAACGCTCGCGAATACACTTGCCCTTCGAACTTACGCGGATAGCCGCCCTCCGCGTCGGCTATTCTTCTTCTTACACCCTTGCCCCCTCCCTGCTTCCGGTTGAACGCGTTCGGTCGGGTGGGAAGGCTGCGCGCAATTTACGAATGGCTTTATTCAAATTTTATAGTCAGACGGTGTAGAGAAGAGCCCACGCTTCTATCGGAGGCATAAATCGGGAGAACGAGTCACGATTTACAGTCGCGATATCACGTAGTTTCGGGGACTACGACGGAGAAGAGAAGCCCGGCTCTTTCTTGTGGCTCTCTTGTTTGCTGTGAAAAAAAAGATTAGATCTCGCGCGCGCACACACTTGTTCCGCATTTTGCGATGACGCAGAGCTCTCGATGTCGTGCCCTTGTAGAAACTTAGCCTACTCGTGGAGGCCATGCCCGACGACAGATTGCAGTCGACCATGCGAGATCGAGTCGACGAAGTTCAGATTGCAATTACAATTCCGACTGTGAATAATAGGAACTTTGCTATATTGCCGATCTCGGATTTCAATCCCGGCCGACAGCGAGCTGCATCGATAGCACAGTTTATTGATGGCGACGATATCGGCGAAACGATTTTAATATTCTCTATGATGAATGAGGCCGTAGGTGTTGCTTGTCTAGTGAACAGATTATAACGATGCGAAATTGCGGGGCATATATTGTATTAATCTCTAGTGCGAAAGTCGATTCTTCCCTCTCGATCCATCGACTTTAATTGCATTCTTTGTCGGAGTGCGACAGATTGTATCGTAAAAAAATCTTCGCTTATTTACGAGAATAATATATCAATTACTATGTTTCTGAAAAAGGAAAAGAAAAGGAGTGGTAGCGAAAGATGTAATAACAATAACGTATTCAAGCAAATTTATTAACATTTAGTAATGAGAAAGGAATTTGTAGTCACTGTAAAGAAAGTGGCGTATTTCCATTTTTTTTCAACGCATTTTCAATGAAATGAAATCAGCGATATCAGTCTTATGACGCCTTCTTTTGCACCGCTAAAGAGGAAAAATTTTTAAGCCAAACAAGTTTTAAATAAATCACGTTTTCCATATTTAAAGAAATTAATTGTTTCTAATTTTCTCTAATCTTTGACATCCACGTGAAATGTTATTTTCGCCGTAAACGTTAGTTCTATTAAGTAAAATTTCTAGAAATTGTTTAACATCCGTAGTTACCGCGTTAAAATGTGTCCGTTGATCAATTAACGATCGGCAGTATTTTAACCGTTGCTATTCCGTTATAAAATTAATATGGTAGAATATCGTGCACGAGTTTCTTGCTGGTCAGCGAGCTTGTAACATTTTACATTGTTCACAACTCTGCTGAGAGGATTTACATTGAGTCATAACAATAACGTATTCAAGCAAATTTATTAACATTTAGTAATGAGAAGGAATTTGTAGTCACTGTAAAGTAATTGACACGTTTCCATTTTTTTTCAACGCATTTTCAGTGGAAGTTGCAATAAAAATTTTGTTGACCAACTTAATACTGATTTTATTTTCACTTTCTCAGTTTACACCTTTCTAATTTTCATTTACAAGTCAAGATGCGAAACAGTATAACGTGGAGGAAAAGTACAAAGCAGAAAAAAGATTAAAAGACTACAAAGTTGTTTGCGTGAAGATTCGGGTCAAGCGGTTTGTACATTGAAAACGTTGAAAAATGAAATGTTACTTCTTTACAGAACGTTATAGCTCGTCGATAGATTGAATTTTCAATTTTTATATAAAAATGACGGACGGACGAGGCAAGTGTCATTCTCCGTTTAAAGATTTAATAGTGAATATTGAATATTTTAAAACATTGCTTCTATTTTCGGAGCGAGAGCGTATATATTATATTCTTACGTCGATAGAATTTATGCGTTTTTGATATTAGAATCCTGACAATTGGCTTTCATGACGTAATCCTTGGTATTTAAGATCAAGTACCATTGAGATACGATTCGTATGTTAATTAAACAATCTAAATTTCAAGTGGCATATTCATATTGCAGCAAGTTTGCTATACGATGTAAACCACTTTTGGCATGATTTTTGGGAGTTGATCCCAACACGCGCTAGCGCCATTGAAACTAAACTTGTATCGACCTTCGTGACCTCGGGTCGCGCCGGGACTAGAAGCAGCAGTTCTCGGCTTTATTCTAATAGCAAGAAATTACAGAGATTCGAGGTACAATTCGTGAAATATTACGCCGTCTAGACGCTGGAGAGAAATCGAATTCTAGCTATACAAATGTCATTCTTCTATTCTTTGAGTCACCAATCGGATTTTGCTTCCCGCAAATTTAATTGTGTGCATTTGTGCAAGTACATGGAATAATTTCATTTCGTGGGATGTACATTTAACACGCATGACATTTTATATCTCACATTTGTAATGTGATAGTAAAATAGAAATGATAAAGAAAACAACTAGCCTTTAAATTACATTTGTGAAATACGAAGCAAATAAATACGAAGCAAAAATGTAGCATATCTTGACGTATTCTAACTTTTTAAATATATTATTAAATTTAGAATAAAATTTAAGTGTAAAGTTACATGAGTGAACAAAGTTATAAATTGAAATGCAAAGTTAAATTTGTGCTTTCTGTTAATAATATAATATAACATAATATATAACAAAGTTTTTAAATAATTAACGCAGCAAAATTGTCTATAGGCTAGTTAATTAATTTTGATGTAGTTAATTAATTAAATTTCTCTCCAACAACTTAATTCTCAAAGTGCTCGATAAGAAGAACCAGAAGAAGCAGAATTTGGCAAGCTGCTCGTACCAACTTCTCGTTAACGATATTTATCTATGCCACGTTCCATATTCGTTCATTTTTGCATGATTATATCGAATCCTAGTTTCTTTTGCGCGATAACTCATTATGCTTACGGGCGATGCGAAATGTCGAGCCCTGATCCTCTTTGACGTATCAGCTCCGGTTCTTCGGCTATCATTTCGGAACAGTAAAACGTATATTCGCCCGTTTCGGAGCCAAGAAGCTCTCGAATATTTAAGCTGTCCCTCGGTCGCCAACTTTTTATCTTGTTGGCTGTGCGCTATGCACCGTTTGACGCATCACAAGCGAGAAAACTTTTTTAACTGGACTTTCCTCGATAGTTTCCCCGGTGTTCACGCTCGCCATAAATGATAATATATACGCGAGAATATACTGGTAGAAACTACTACCAGAACTAGGTATAGAATTTATATTGTTAGAGTGTGACACAACGAGCACT